TTATCAAGCACCTACAATGTACCACTCACTGTGCTGTATAGTAATATCGTAACAAACATCTTACGTGATAAAATTCTGCTATTGCTAAAACCATACAATTACACATAAAACAACAAATTAGTTTTAATTTCTGGATTTCAAGGACAGTGAATCTCTCTCCAAATACTGAGGCCCTGATAAAATTTTCTGTTTCTATTTGTTTTTTTTAGGGAAAGTTTACTTTTTTCTCCTTTTGCCAACAATTGCTGAAAACTTAATGGACAGATCCAAATCTTAAAGCCATGTTTGAAGGAACCAAGGGGAATCCTACAAAAGACAGGACAAAGAAAAAAAAATTACTTACCAACACTCTAAAGAAGTAAAGATATTCTGCAGCTCCAGAATAATTCCCACATTCATATTGGAATTTTGCATATCTGTACAGTGTATCTAGATATTCCTGCCTAAACTAAAAACAAAACAGAACCCAAATTTTAAATGTCCCTAGAAGTCAATTCTTTCAAAAATCAATTCAATCTCTCATCCCAAAAGCTGCCCCCAAAACAAAACAGAACAGTATGATCAGAATACACATGACACTTAAAATAAACATTAGGAATTAGTAGATTTAACATTCATAATTCTGGCCTCAAAGAGTTATGAATTATAACACTACTTTGTTGCAATACAAACATGAATTGCACCTGAAGGTCCAATGCATATTTCTCTTAGCTAGTAACTGAACTTAGACAACTACCAAGCATATGCATCCTTGTAAAGTTTTGCATTTCTGTACAAATAATATGACCAATAAACTTCAGTTCTCTGTGAAAAACGGCCCCCAAATTACACCAATTTTTAGAGTTAGTGAGGTGAAAAAAAGCAAAAGTGAAGAAATCTAAGACAAAGTCTCCAAACTAGAACATTAATAAATCCACTAAACATTCCATATAGAAAACAGAGTAATGTGCACAGTGGTCCGTATGCCTCGTTACAGTAATTGTTAAATGAGATAAAAACTTCAATGCAAGTTAAAATATTATCATTCTTTAACACAAGGGAAAGGAGATTGGGAGATTAGCAGGAAAGCTTATAACAACATTCTTTTATTTGGGGACTTATGAAGGGCTTGATAATGTCAAGGCTACTGTTTTCTACAAGGCAGCCCAAGTATGTAATTGTATTGCTCAAAGCATTTCTAATTCATATTTAGTTCTGTCTTTACTTACTTCAGAAATAGAAAATGCTAACTATTCTGCAAAAAGTAAGTCAAAAGTTTTGAGAATTCCTGCTATTTAAGTAAGTATGAGCAATATTATTTTCCTATCAGCACCAATTTTTAAAACCTGAAGTTTTAAAAATGTATCAGGTATTGTATTTAATAAGTTAATCTGGAAATTATATTCTTGTCAAGCCATGAACCTATCTATACAGCACTATTCTTTAGTTTACCTTATGACACCATAAAAACTTAAAGTAATTTTTATAACATGACTTACACCATGCTTGTCTGCCAGGTAGTCAAACAGCATTCTACCATCCCTAATAATAAAAAACAAAAATTATTTTTTAGGCCACAGAAAACAAAATAAGCATATCCAACATTTACCTTATTATCCACATAAAGGCATTTAAGTATCTTAATACTTAAACACTAGAAATAAAATTAAGACTTCCTGAATAAAATAAACAAAACAAAAGATAATATGTTTTGAACATAAGAAATAGGACCTCAAGGAATATGGCAAATTTCAAAATTTAACTTCTGGATTACTTTAGCCCTAAGTGAAAATCATGCATCATCTAACATAAGGTCTTGAAAAGTTTTTTAGGTAATCAAACCAGAATATTCTGACTATATTTATAATGAGGTCAGTAGTCCATTTAGATGGGAACCTATTGAGAATGGTGTTTACTCTCTTGAGATTACATTTCCAATAAATAAGAGTCGTATTACAGAATAGAGACATAAACATGTATTTAAAATATTTAAGTTTTGTCCTCCTCCACAATGTTAATATTTTCACAAGGACAGTGATTTGGCAAATTGTAAGATTAATAAATTATACCTAACTTACATATCTATGTTACACACCCTATATAATTATTCTTCAAACCAAAGCATCAAATAACCCAATCTAATTTATATTAAATTATCTTTGCTTAACTTGAGATTCTAGCAGGTTGGTAAAAGACAGCTTGAAAGACATGAAGGAAAAGTGACAGATGGGCACAGTTGCCCACTTTCTGGACATTTTCCGAAAACATTTTCTAATGCTTACCACAAAAGGGGATGTTATGGTATATGTTTGGGAGCACAATTTTACTTGAAGATTTAATGTGGAGGGGATATATCACCACTGCAATTAACATGGGTAAATTATAAATACTGAATATGAAACATGCATGAAGTTTTTAACATAAAAATATTTTCTTAAATCTTAATGCCTGCTGTGGATCACAGTGAGTTAACTTTGTGTAACACTCCTTACACCTGTGAGGTATGTAATTATTATCCTCTGGCTGGCTGGGTACTTCTGGGAAAGTAGGAGAAGTACAATATTGTATGTTCGATGAAATCTTAAAATGAGAATTAGTGAGGAGAGGTTATAGTAGTTTATTTACGAGTTTTAACATACAATTCATCCTTTCATTTACCTCTAATTTGGTGCCTATTAAGCTACAAGGAGTCTTCTCTTTATAATATTCAATGAATAAGTATATATTCATCTTATTCATACCCTTGTCCCATTTCTTTCTAGTGTTCAAGTGACTAAATTTGGAATTTAAAGCCTAAATTTTCTATTATACCCTGACATCTGATTATTTCAGCTGTCCCTTTGTGAGCACTTACATGTGACTTGAAAGTCTGTAATTACTATTACATCTAAGTGTATACAAGTAGTTTAGTATAATATATATATACAAAAGACAACTATGTAACTATACACACACACACGCACGCACACACACACACACACACACACACACACACTGTTTTTAAATTTAAACTTAATTACCCTTTTAAAGGTTCTGGCTCCAAATACAGCCACTCTGAGGTACCGGGGGTACATACATGGCAGCTTTGTAAGATACAGCCATCTCCATGTGTGTGTGTGTATATGTGTGTGTGTGTATATATGCAGTACAATATGGTATAGTAGAGTGTGGTATATTATAGTGTGGTGTAATAATCATATAGTATTTGTTGCTTCTCTAAAAAAAAATATGGTAACTTCCCCAAATCACAAATAAAATCTTAGAGCTACTTTCTCTAAATATTTGGTCTGAGCATGTAAGAACTAAAGATGTAACATGGCAAAATCATCTGCAATTCCTCTAGTAAATATATTGGTAGCTAAGATTTACCACATGGCAATATTCAATTTTAGTAGAAAATTTTATTTTTAAATATTTCTAAAAACTCAAAGGGCTTCAATTAGTGATATATATTACCAGAGTGAGGCAACATACTTTCTTTGGAAACCAAACAATAAGTCTATTTCTAGTTAAGGGGAAGTTAGGAATAAAATAACCTTTTCAGTTCTACACTACCCTCCTTGGACCGGGCATCAAGGTTGGAAGGATATGAAAGAATGCAGCAAAGTGATAAAGTGAGCTCAGGTTTCCCCTACAGGGAGCAACCCATGTGGTCTAGGTATTGCCCAGACACAGGGTTTCTCACCCTCAGTATTACTGACACTTGGTTTGGATAATTCTTCACTGGGGGCAAAGGCAACTGCCTGATGTGCTTTAAGATGTTTAGCAGCTTCCTTGGCCCCTCCCCACAAGGTGACAGTAGCACCCTTCCAGTGTGATGACCAAAAATGTCACTAGACATTGACAAATGTTCCCTGGGAAGGGTGTGTGGGAGGGGTGGACCTACTGCAACATAATCAGATTTGAGTTAACTGGTAAAGAAGTTCAAACAAAATTTAGTATCAACATTTATTATAAAGGAATTTTTTGTAATGAAGATAATTTAAATAATAAAGATAAATGAAAATAAGCAAATAGATAAAATGATCATTTAAACCGTGAACTTTTATGATAGGATACTAGATAAAGCTTTAATTAACATTTGTATTAATCCATAAAAGTGAATTTTTAGACTTCAAATAAAGAACAGGTTACCTGGTTGACTGCATTTGCCTTGTAGTTTCTGGATCTTCAAACATTTTCACAATTGGTTCAGTTTCTGCCTGAAGCTGTTTCAGTTGTGCAACAACTGTGGTTCTTTTTTCTCTCAAAGCTTATTAAAAATGCAAAGAAATACTATAATGTTAAACAATACTGTTCACTGTGAGGATGTCTTTGGAAATTTTTCAATTTATTTAAATTGTGTACATATTTATTTACCCCCCAACCAATATATTCACAAGCCAGAAGCCACCAAGAGAACTCCCCAAGATCCAATTTTTTTCTTTCTAGCACTGCAAAGGCAAAAAAGGGAAGAGGGAATCCTCTTCTTACACTTAAGGGAAACTGGAAAATATACTGATATACTGATACAGCCTGGGATTGGGGAGGGATTAGGGGGTGGCTGTTGAGAAAACAATTATCTAATTCTACATTTCAGAGACTTCATTACCAGTGTTTTTATTTTTGTTCTTTTTGAATTTTCTCAGACAAATATTATCCTAGAGTTTCTGAATAGTGGCTCAGATATATTATTATTGGAGATTTTCAATTAGGTTGAATGGAATTTAGATCTAGTCAATAATCTCTCTTTTCACTAAAAATCTAGTTCTATAATCTCTCAAACCCAATTCTATAGTTTCTTTACTGCATCATGAAAAGTAAGAGAAACCTGCACATAATCTACCCTGCTAGCATGTTTTAAAGTTTTACTAAGAAATAGCTTACTTTGTCATCACAAACTAAATTTAAAGAGAGATTGTTTTTGCAGGAAACTAACATAAGTCAAAAAGGTGATTATGTTAATGTTATAATTTCTATGAGATAAATATATGTATATATATATATATATTTGCATATATATATATATATTTGCAAGTTGAAAGGGGAAAGCATGAATGCAGTCCCCAACTACCACAAATTATGCAGTTGATTTTCCCACACTTGGGAAAATCTCCAGGGTCAGCACACCTGGAGTGCAATGGATGCACCTCTTGGGAAACCACTTTCATGTTCACGGTTATCTCCCCTGCCAGGTCAGTATTCTGTTATACATTAATAAGTATATACTAGAGCAGTGTTTCTCAAACACAGGAGATCTGTGATTAAATTTTAAGAAATATCAATTAAGACAAAGTAAAATTTATTATTTCTCTACTGAAAGAGTTCTTTGAAGCTTTAAAAATACTACATAAAGGAACATAAAACAAATGATAAAACTTATGGGACCTCTTTTTTTTTTTAAAGGAATATCTATTAGCAGAAAACAAGAATTTGGAAGACATAATACCATAGTAGTTTTACACTTTGATTGCTGGACCTCAGTCAACTTTTTATTAAACAGATCTGGGGTACAGCCCAAGAATTTGCATTCCGAGGTGAACTGATGATGGTGGTCCTGGACCACACTTGAGCATCATGTCTACAGCCAAATATTTCAAGGTAAAAATCTCCAAGGTACACAGGATGCTAAATGGAAAACTTAGCACACCAAAAAACAGCAATAGTCTCAGATAATTCTAAGGAAACAATCTGACTCCTAAGTAGAACTTTGATTATAAATGCTGTGACCATATTTTAAAGTAGTGTCACAACTTTTATGGTGAGAAAATAATACACTTTAGAAGATCTGCAACCTTCATATTACCTTCTACCTGAAGAACTTTTAAATCAAATAATTATGAAGATATGAAGACTTTGGTTAAAGCTCTTTCATAAATCACAAGATTTTAACACATGTCCTCAGTTCACAAGCTTCAGTTCTAATGACATAACTTACCATGAGGAATATCATCAGAATAAAGGTTTTTGTATACATCCATAGCAAAGTCTACCATGTTGGTATCACTAAGAAGATCCAATTTCCCTTGTAATAATTCTTTTTCATTATATATCTGCAAGAGAAAATTACTTTCTAATGAATATACTGGTTCCCCTCAATAAATGATTAATCTAAGATTAGTTTACCTGAAAATATACTTCTTGAAATACTATTTTTTAAATAAAATATTACACACTATTAATTCACTGTCTTATAAGAAAAAAAGGCAATCAACCTACAGAGAAAAGAGTATTTTATTTACCTAATAATTTAAAAATGAAGGCAGTTACACACTACAAAGCCATTTCCACCTACTTAAGATTTATATTATTTTTTGTGTCCCTACAAGCCATCTAACATCCTGTTCAAACAAGTGCATAAACAACCACATCAACTCCACTGGTAAGCACATATAGTTGTCTCCTCATCCAGGTAAGTAGTAATCAACTCTTAAATTTCTTACCTTCTTAGAATCTCTTACATCCACATAATGTTTACTTATCTTTCCTGAGGTGGCCTCTCCTTTACTCCCCATGCATTTTTTTCACTTAATGGTCACAATCCTTTATAATGCTTTCCCATCCACACCACTTAAACAAAACTAGCACCCATTGTCTAAGTCAACCTTGTCATATCAAATCCAAGTAACATAATTTAACCCATAGTACAAGGACCCAAATACATAAGCAAACTCACATACATGTTAAGTGTAATGAGCAATATTTAATGGTTCTAAACAATAGGATTCAGGGAGAGAAATTTTTAAAAAATTTTAAACAAATAGTCTTCAAGATAAAGCTTGCAAAAGAAATTTTTTTGTGCTAAATATAAATCTGCCAAGGAAGAAAAATGCAGGGAGATTCCACATTTCACTGCACATAAAAAGATAAGATGAAGGTGCTCAAATGCACAGCCATGAGATCAAAACCTAATCTTCCAAATTACATAAAGAACTCCTACAAAATAGTAAAAGAGAGAGAATCCAATTCAAAAGAGCTGAAAGATTTTGATGAGTATTTCAGAAGAGTATTAAATGGCAACAAACACCCAAAAAGATTATCAATCTCACTAATCATAAAGGAAACGCAAATTAAAACCACACTAAAAACTAAAATTACTGACAATACCAGTGTTGGTACAGATGTAGAGTAACCTGAACACTAACTCTGCTGGTGGAAGTAGAACCACTTTGGAAAATTGTTATCTCCTAAGTGTAAATATACCCCCTTCTAACCCAGCAATTCTGCTCCAAAGTACCCAAAAGGGCACATATACTCAAAGGACATTTCCAAGAACGTTCATAGTAGCACTATTTTTAACAGCCAAGTTTACCAATGATAGAATGGATAAATAAACTGATTTATTCATACAATGGATTAACACTCAGCACTGACAATCAATTACTGACATTCTAATAAATTGGATGACTTACAATGCTGAATGAACAAAATCATACAAAGTTGTACATGGTGGTGAATGCTTAATTCCATTTACATAAAATAAAAAACAGGCAAAACTATTCTAACATCAGATATATGTTTACCTTTGGGAGGTATGATGACTAAGAGGGGTCAAAAAGGAAGGTTTTTTAGGTATTTGTGATGTTTTATTTATTGATCTGGATGGTCACACAAATGTGCTCACTTTTAAAAAAACATTATATTTGTGCACTTCTCTGTATGAATGCTATACTTAATAAAAAGTTTACCTTAAAAAATTGAAGCTTCCTGTCTGTGTGCCCTTAGAAATCCTGATGTTAGGTTAAAAATATCCTTTATCTAGTGTGCCACTTCTTGCCACTCCATTAAAGCTTTTATTTTGTATTGTTTCTCTCAACGGTAAATTCAAAGCATTGCTCCTCCGCCATCAGAGCTTACTGACCTCTTAAATCTATATCTGCTTATATCACCCTCGCTAAATTCTGCCTCCACAAGCACACTTATTCCATAATGGACAGACAGTAAATACTTCAGATTTTGTGAGCCAACAAGCAAAAATCAAGGATACAATATGTAAGTGCTTCAGAGAGAAACAAATTTCCACAATTTTTTTCTTTTCAAGTAACAAACATGGTAATAATGCAATACAATTTTTTGTAATACAAATCCAGGGAGAAGAATGAATTATTTTCGGACAGGAACTATTTCACTTAATTGGGGTACAAAGTTAATGTTCTATAATTTAAAGTGCTTGCAAATGTTCATCTGTTATACATTGTTAGTTTGCAGACCATACAAAACAGACAGAGAGGGCTGCATCTGATTCAAAGGCCATAGTTTGCCAACATCTGGCCTTATCAAACTCTTGAACAAGCTATTTTTTTAAACAGATTAAAAATCTTTGGTATCTCTTTTGCTGTCATCCTTCACAAATCCACCATCCATGATGATATTTTTAAAAATTCGAGCCTTAACAAGTACCTCAACATAAAAAAGGCCATATATGACAACCCCACAGTTAACATCATACTTAACAGCGAGAAGCTGAAAGCTTTTCCTCTAAGATCGAGAAAAAGACCGGGATCCCACTCTCCCCACTGTTATTCAACATAGTACTGGAGGTCCTAGCCACAGCAATAAGACAATACAAAGAAATACAAGGCATCCACATTGGTGAAGAAGAAGTCAAACTGTCACTTTGCAGATGACATGATACTGTACAAACAAAACCCTAAAGACTCCACTTCAAAACTACTAGAACTGATATCTGAATTCAGCAAAGTTGCAGGATACAAAATTAATACACAGAAATCTGTTGCTTTCCTATACACTAACGCTGAACTAGCAGAAAGAGAAATCAGGAAAACAATTCCATTCACAACTGCATCAAAAAGAATAAAATACCTAGGAATAAACCTAACCAAGGAATCCAAGGAAGTGAAAGACCTATACCCTGAAAACTACAAGACACTCTTAAGAGAAATTAAAGAGGACACTAACAAATGGAAACTTATTCCATGCTCTTGGCTAGGAAGAATTACTATTGTCAAATGGCCATCCTGCCTAAAGCAATCTACATATTCAACGCAATCCCTATCAAAATACCAACAGCATTCTTCAACAAACTGGAACAAATAGTCCAAAAATTCATATGGAATCACAAAGACCCTGAATAGCCAAAGCAATCCTGAGAAGGAAGAATAAAGCTGGGGGGATCTTGCTTCCCAACTTCAAGCTCTACTACAAAGCCATAGTAATCAAGACAATTTGGTACTGGCACAAGAACAGACTCACAGACCAGTGGAACAGAATAGAGAGTCCAGATATTAACCCAAACATATACAGTCAATTAATATATGATAAAGGAGCCATGGACATACAATGCAGAAATGACAGCCTCTTCAACAGCTGGTGTTGGCAAAACTGGACAGCTACATGTAAGAGAATGAAACTGGATTATTGTCTAACCCCATACACAAAAGTAAATTTGAAATGGCTCAAAGACCTGAATGTAAGTCATGAAACCATAAAACTCTTAGAAAAAAACATAGGCAAAAATCTCTTGGACATAGACATGAGTGACTTCTTCATGAACATATCTCCCCAGGCAAGGGAAGCAAAAGCAAAAATGAACACGTGGGACTATATCAAGCTGAAAAGCTTCTGTACATCAAAGGATACCACCAATAGAACAAAAAGGCATCCTACAGTATGACAGATCCAATAAAGGGTTGACATCCAAAATAAATAAAGAGCTCATGCACCTCAACAAACACAAAGCAAATAATCCAGTTAAAAAATGGGCAGAGGAGCTGAACAGACAGTTCTCCAAAGAAGAAATTCAGATGGCCAAAAGACACGTGAAAAGATGGCTCCATATCGCTAGTCATCAGAGAAATGCAAATTAAAACCACAATGAGATATCACCTCACACCAGTAAGGATGGCCACCATCCAAAAGACAAACAACAAGAAATGTTGGCGAGGTTATGGAGAAAAGGGAACCCTCCTACACTGCTGGTGGGAATGTAAATTAGTTCAACCACTGTGGAAAGCAGCATAGGTTCCTCAAAAAACTCAAAATAGAAATACCATTTGACCCAGGAATTCCACTTCTAGGAATTTACCCTAAGAATGCAGCAGCCCAGTTTGAAAAAGAGATATGCATCCCTATGTTTATCGCAGCACTATTTACAATAGCCAAGAAATAGAAGAAACCTAAGTTGTCCATCAATAGATGAATGGATAAAGAAGATGTGGTACATAGACACAATGGAACATTATT